AATGAGAAGAGCACTTAGGGCACTAGCTTTATTCTGCACAGATCAAGAACTTTCAATAAATCAGAAAACTAACGTTTTAGTTTTTGCCCGACACCATCATAAAAGTCACAAATGGCAAATAAATGGGACCCCAACTGAACAGGTGCGCACCTATAAATACATTGGAGTGCAATTCCATGCTTCTTTATTCTGGAATGCACATTTTCTTTATCAGGCAAGTGTGGCACAGTGCACTTCATCAGCTATTGTAAGATTCTACCATTCAAAAGGAGCCCATTATATCCCTGCAGCTCGCAAGGTCTTTCAAGCTAAGGTAATACCTCAGCTCCTTTATGGTTCTCAGATTTGCTCCCTTGCACAGCTTAATAAAATTGAAACTATTCAGAATAAGTTTATTAGAGCTATTTTGATGGCACCAAAAAGTGTTAAAAATGCCATCTTAAGGGTAGAATTAGGTATAGTTTCATTGGATGCCAGAGCATGGTTTCTCCTTCTTACCTTCTGGCTAAAGTTACTTCTGTTTCCTATAGGTTTAGTCCCATTAGTATTTAGGGATCATTTCAAATCATCGTGGCAAAAACAAGCCTTGGATAGAATTCAATTGCTGGGCTTCTCTATGGAAAGTCTGTGCTTATTAGGATTTGATAATGCTAGAACCGCCCTTAAACAATGTATCTTCTTATTTATCATCTATTACAATTTTGAAATTTTGTAAAGCTTTCACCTTAGCCAGACTCTTATTTATCATCTATTACAATTTTGAAATTTTGTAAAGCTTTCACCTTAGCCAGACTCTTATTTATCATCTATTACAATTTTGAAATTTTGTAAAGCTTTCACCTTAGCCAGACTGGACGCAATGCCCTCAGCAGTCCTTTTTGGATGTTTTAAGAGCATTCCCATGCACCTTCGATTATGTGCATGTGGAGATGGCTCAATAGAAACACTAAGCCACATGCTATTATATTGTTCCCTATATAAGGACTCTAGACAGATATATATGTATATATCCGATACTGAAGAGATTTCCTAGCAGGGAGTGTGATTTCTATTTAATGTTACTCCTTTTGGACAAGGACCCGAAAATATCCTCCCAAGTTGCCCAGTTTTGTGCTACCATCTGCACAATACACTCCACCATTATTTAGATTTAAAACTTCATAACATAGTATTTTACTTTGATATATTCTAGCACTTTTAATTTTTAG